GGGCATCCGCCGGGGGGGGCGCGGGCTCGCGCCACCCAGCACGGCGCATTAGCAGGCAGCGCAGCGCCTCCCGCAGCCATTTGTCACCGCGGCCGGCGGAGCGTGATTAGCATCGTTAGTCCGTGGCCCCATGCATATGGAAATGGCCAGTGCCTGGATGCTGCAGAGCCCTGAGTAGGCCCCAACTTGAGCAGTTTCCCCCCTCTTTTTGGGGGGGTCCATGCTACAGGGTGCTGGGAGCTTTCCAGCCCCCCGCAGCTGGGCAGAGACCCCCGGCCATTTGTCACCGCGGCCGGCGGAGCGTGATTAGCATCGTTAGTCCGTGGCCCCATGCATATGGAAATGGCCAGTGCCTGGATGCTGCAGAGCCCTGAGTAGGCCCCAACTTGAGCAGTTTCCCCCCTCTTTTTGGGGGGGTCCATGCTACAGGGTGCTGGGAGCTTTCCAGCCCCCCGCAGCTGGGCAGAGACCCCCGGTGCTGGGGGACCCGGTCGTGAAGGCCTGGGGTCTGAACATGGGTCAGGGGCGAGGGCCCAGTGTCCCGTCGGTCACCCGTGTGTGCCGGGGGAGAGGAGACAGGGGCGCCGTGGTGGCTGGGAGAGGCGCCCGGGGGTCGGCCCGTGGGGGGAGTAGGAGTGGGGGTGCAGGTCCCCCCCGCGCCGGCCCCGGGCCGGGCTTCCTCCGCACCAGCATGGGGCCTTTCAGTGCTGCCTAATCCGCTAATCCGTCCCACAACACTGACGGTGGCCCGGGCTTGTGTGCAGCCCAGGGATGCTGGCGGAGCACGTGTGCATGCGTGTGTGCGAGCCGGGGGGGCTGCGTGTCTTCATGGGATTGAACCCCAGCAGCTGAACAGCTGGCCTGGGAGTGGGCAGCAAAGGCCAGGCAGGCACACGCGCATGTGTGTGTGTGTGTATGCACACGCATGCACACATGCCCATCACACCCCACATGCCTACTCCCTGCCTGCGCCAGCTCCAGCTGCCCGGCCCCCACCCTGGCCCAGTTCCTAGCTCCGTGGTGTCTGGGTGGCCGGCGGGAAGCCCCCACGGGTTCCTCTCTCCTGGATCCCTCCCGGGGCCTGGAGCAGCCTGGTGGGGGCCGGAGCCGGCTGCCCGGGGGGGGCAGAAGGACCCAGCTCGGCCCTTCCCGCCCCGTTCAGCCCTGCCTGCTTGCCCGTCCCCGGCCTGCCTGTCCTACAGGCCCCAGGACCTGAGCTCACGCAGGCACTAGGGATCAGGCTCAATCGTGCTAGGAGCTGCACAGAGGCAGACACCAGCCCAGAGCTTCCCCCCTGGGATGCAGGGTCCAAGGACATGCCCAGGGCTGTGCAGGCTGGCAGTGGCAGAGCGGTGACGTGGCCCTGATCACTATAAGCAGGCCCCGCGCCACGGCTGGACCTAGGCCATCCTGTCCAGGGGTCAGAGCGCTGCCCTGGGAGCCGCTCCCAGCTCTGCCACTGCCCAGCTGGGCAGCCTCGACCACCTCCCTTTCCCTTCATGGCCTCAATTTCTCCTCTGGCTCTGTGCTGGGTAGGTCGGGAGCTCCCAGGGCCGGGGGCTGCCCCTCTCAGGGGGGTCCCAACTGCACCGGCTTGTGGGGGGGTTCCCCTTGCAGCTGGGCCCTACCAGCCCTGTTGTAGCCAAGGCACCGCCGCGGGGGGCAGGACGGAGGGACCACGCTGAGTCACGAGGGCTGCCCCCGTGGCCAGGCCACCTCCAGTCCCCGCAGGGACTCGAGCAGCCTCAGCAAGAGATCTATGTGTCCCCTGTGCCGGGGGGAGCCACGTTGCCTGCCCCAGAAAGCCACCGGCTCCTGGATTTGTGTCCTTGTTGTGCCACCAACTCCCCTGTGTGTCCTTGGTAGAGTCCCTTAGCCCCCACCCTGCTCTATGGGGGTGCCCAAGGCAGTGGGGCGAGAGGCGCACCAGCCCCTGGCATTGTCCTAAAGGGGAAAGGGGCTTTTCCCCGAGCCGCACAGGGCCGGGATGTGGGGAGACAGCTGGGACATGGGGCTGCCCTGGAGCCAGGGGCTGCCTGGGGGCTGATGTGGGGGGTCGTGATGCCCCAGGGGCGGGGGGGGACTGGATTGGGGGCACAGCCCTTCGAACAGGGCTCTCCGGGAGCTCAGCTGCTCGCAAGGCTGTAGCGTCTCCAGGGCTGGCTTCTGGCGCCCCGTGCAGCCAGTGCAAAAGCTGCTGGGCAATACTGCAGGCAAGGCTTCGCGCTGCCTGAGCAGCGGGAGTTGGACTGGGCGGGGGCTGCTGGGGGGAGGCAGGAAGCACGCACCGCCGGACAGGGCTGGGAATGGCCACCGGGATCCCGCACCCCCCCAGCTCTGCCACCGGTGCCCGTGTCTTGCTCCTTTCTCGGCCCCGGGCGCTGGGGCTGCTCGAAACGTCCTGCCGGTGGCTGTGACCGGGGACGGC